GATTGAGAATAGGAAATTTATATTGCCAAATTTGAAACTAAGTGGTTTGCATAACAGTGTGAAGATCGATCGAAGACGCCATCTCTAACGATTATAAGACTATATTTGTTTGTTTTCACTATTATCCAAAGCACTTAGGTTGAGTTGTCGACATGCGAGAGAAGGAAATTTAGATTGGTAATCTAAAAACTGAGTAATTTACACAACATAATGAAAATAATTCGGACATGTCATCTTTGTTTTAATTATTATCCATTTAATTACTTCCTAACAAATTGGATGGTGGAGATTTTGGATACATCTCGCTGCTCGGAGATTCGGGCTACATACCACACATGTGTTTTATGAATGTGTGTGACAGTGTGAAATACGTCTCGCTGCTCGGAGATTTAGGCTTTATAAAAAAAGTTTTTCACCCAAATGAATCGGATCATCTGCCAGAAACTGAAGAGCAAAATAGTCTTGAACAAACCGAAAGTCAAAATTTTATCAGTTAAGAAAGTTTATTCTCATTTACAGAATTAAGGCTTTTTTCCTCTCTCTCTCTCTCTTCTGTGATCTCATTATCAATACTCGAGAATCAGGGTATCGAGAGGTTTCGTGGAGCTCAAGCAATACTCTTAACCTTTCAAAAACTTTTTTTTTTGTTAAAGCGTAACCTTTTATAAACTCACAAGATCTTTTCCTCCATTAAGTCCTGACAAAATAATAACATGCATGATTCGTAAAGGAATTGTACATGTTGACTGTTTGTATTAAAACAGTATAAATTTTGTGACCAAATGTCATGACTGCCTATATACTAAAAGTATGAACAATTTGGATTTGTTTTAGTTACCATGAGTGATTTTGACATGTGGTAAAAATTAGGATAGATAACTCGGAAAAGAAATCCGTAAAGGACACATTGAACAAGTCTTTTCTAACGATCAAAACAATTATTATGGTCGGTTTGATTTATTTCTCTATAATTCACCTTAGTATACTTTTATTCCTACAATTTTAAATTTGTGATGTAACAAATAAAGTTTTTTTTTTTTAGAACGGGCCAACAAATAAAGTATTGACAAATAAGTTTGTTATGCTAGTGAATTTTTTGAGGAGACTCTATATAAACCAATGCGGATTTGCTCAAAAGGCTGTCACAAAAATCCATTGATGACCACAACCAAGAAAACGTGAGAGAACTAGCCTTAATCAATTCTTCTGCTTTTATGTTCTTGTGACCCAATTTCTAATGGGTTTTTTTACCTTTTCTGGTTTCAAACTGGAGAATATGAATTTGTCAAGATTCATCATGTCGATTTTCACATGTCTTCTGGGGCAATGTATTTGAAGTGATGGATCTTGCTGATAACCTGGCAAAAAAAGTTCCAAGCGAGGGTTCCTTACTTTATTTTAGCGAGCATGACTATGTCTTTTCTGCAGGCCAAAACCCAATCAAGAAGGTACTATTTATCTGAAATCCATCATAGTTTCCTTGCAAAAAATCATATGAAACGATTTTATCTCTCTGGAGTATACTTAAGAGTTAAGACTCGAGATGTTTTAGATTGTTTTGACGATGAAGATAGCGTTGGAGTTGCTGAAGCCAATGCCAAGAAACCAAGGTACATAATCTTTCCGATCTTGGGTGGTGTTAATGGGAGTAAGGATTTATATAGAGTTGTGATGATTTGTTAAAATTGTAAAGAGTTTGTTAGATTTAAAGAGAGTTATGTATTTTTTTTAAAAAACTATCAAAATCTTTTATTATAATAATTTTTAAAATTTTAAGTTATATAGATATTTTGAAAGTTTTGTTTAATGAATTAAATTGGTAACAACCTTTGTCCCAATAGCAAAAATTTAATAAATTGATAGAATCATTAAAAACCAAAAAAATTAAATAACAATAGATTTTATATAGAATTTGAAAATCTTTATACCAAAATAATGAATTGCCAAATCGGTTTTCTTTTCATAAAATATTTTATTAAAATATTTTATACCAAAAACTTGCGTGGATTTCTTTTCATAAAATATTTTTGGATCATAGCAAAAATCGGTTTATAGTAAACTTTTGTTTAAAAAAAATTAGCTTTGTCAACAATTAGCTTATATTATTAAATCAAAAATTATGGTCCAAACAAAAAAAAAATTATTAGATAATATAAACTATTTTTACATTATGGTTCTATGTTCTTAAAATTATTTAGGCTTGATTTTATAATAAAAAAATATTTTGATTAGCAGATTTTTTGTTAAGTTTTGTAACAAATATTTCAAAACACTATGTTTTATAATGCAAAATATATTTTATTTGTTTGTAATTAAGATTCTTAGGCTTTGTTTGTTTTTGCATCTATATACTTATTTGGATGCAAATGCTCAAATATTATTCCTTTGTAGCCCATGATTCTTAACATCAGGGTGATTACGCTTTACGGTTAACCCTTAGCTACATAGTCTATCCAGCACGTGACGCAAGACTGGTCATTCTCATCTCTCCCATTACATAATTTGAGCCTGTGAAAACATCAAAATCCCTAGAGGATTCTAACAAATTTTATCGACAAATAATCTGGGAATCCATTGATTTGTTTTATATATACACAAACACACACACAAAAGCTTGGAGAAAATAAAAACTGAGAGAAGTCTTGGAGGTTTAGGGTTTTATTTATAATAGAAATCTTCGGAGAAGTTGCTTTTTCTTTTTCTTATTACAAAAATACTAATGTTAAGCTTCGGAGAATTAGTGTGGAACGTGGAAGCACAATTGTTTAATGTATCCGTGATTTTCGAGTAATGTGGCTACAAAGAGTCAAAGACTAGGACGGTCCATGGTTGTGGTTTGGTTTGATTTCTATTAGATGTATATTCGTTCTATAATAAAAATGTCGAATTATTCTTTTCGACCTCGTTATTTTTTTCATTATATTTAATGTGATATATATGCTAAGAATGCGCAACGATATCCAAAATTTATAATTACCGAATCGAGAAGAATAGTAGAGAATCCCGCGTTTATCACGGTAGCGTAACATCATCAATACACAACAATATCCAAATTTTCGACTTCATTATTTTTTCATTATCTTCAACAATATGTGATATGCTATAGAATATATAACAATATCCAAAAAAAACAAAAAAAAAAATCTAATCCAGAATAGCAGAGAGAATCCGTCTTCTTGTTTTATTTTAAAAATAGATAAATTTAACTGAACAAGCATTTACTATCATAATCTATTTTATAACAGTTTGTATGCATATATATATGCTAATATAACAGATATTTCAGTACAGCACAACAAATTATATTTTAATTACATATATATTTTACCCAAACAAGGTTAGTTTAATCTAAACCCTTTCTCGAAAAAGGTTAGTTAAACACTTCAAACCTATTAAAATTGACCTATATTAAATTATTTTAATTTAGAATATAACAGTGTACATGAAAAGATTATAGATCTGTTCTTGTAAGCCTAACCTCTTGTGTAGATACATAGTCCTAGATTTAGACTCTTTGGGTTGAAGATTAAAAGTGTAGGAGTTAGATTCTTGTTCCGTGTTCCTTATTTTTAGGCTAACCATTGTATTTGAGTTATTTCTTTGCGGTTTCTCCTATCTCTTGCGGTTTCTTCTGTCTCTTGCGGTTAATCCTCTTTGATGCGGCTTGTGGGCTTTGTAGTACCGCGCTTCTTGCTCTTCTTCGTCCTTCCCAGTGTTTTTGAGAGTGGCTCTTGCCTTTGAGTAGTGGTTGTTTCCTACCGTGATCTTCATCTTCTGTATCTTATTTGTCCTTTTATTCTGGAATTTGATTTCCACCTTAGTATTTCATCTTGTATTCTATCTTTATTTTCACCATGTATCTCACTTTGGTAATAAAATTTAGACAAAAAAAAAAAAAAAAGATTGTAGATTACTCATTTTTCTAAACAACTAAAGGCTCAATGTCCCATCTTGGCACGTTATTCATATTTTACGTGTGGCTAAGTTTTTTTTTTTTTTTAAAAGACGTGTGCCTAAGTTTTAGTGTCGTGGGTTCGTGCCAAGAGAGGAAATTTAAATATACTCTTCGTTTATATTTCAGTTACAAAAAAAAAAGTTTTAGTGTCGTGATATTTAAATTATTAAATATAAATCAGCACATAGTCTCAACCAAATATTTATAACCTTTTTGGGCACACTCAATTGATATGTGCAGTTCTTTCCATGTCAACCACAAAATCCAATATGGAATCGAACTCCTCTAGCTAATTAAAATTATCTAAAAATAACAAAGTGAAAAATTGTTATGAAAAAGAACAAATTGTAAGATGAAATAAAAATATTTATTAGAGTGCATTTTTAAAAAAAATAAATGCAAGAGATGTTTTATTAGTGGATATAATTTAATTTATGTTTTATCCAATAACAAAATTATTTTTCTACTTATTTATGATTTTTAACTTAAATTTAGTTTAAAATATATTATTTAAAAATATATTTCTTAAATCTGTTTATTTGTTGATGCGTCAAACGATTTTTTGTTTGTTAGTAAGTTTTAAATATTTTTTTTATTTAGTAAATAAACTTTTAATTGTCTATGTGATGATGTCTCAATTTTTTTTTTCTTTATAATTTGAGAACACTTATAATTTTAACCGAAAGTAAGTTTTAAATAAATTTGTTCAATTTTTTTTAACACGTTAGTAAAAAAATCTAATGCGATAATATAACCTAAAAAGTTGTACTCTTTCTTAATTAAATCTAATTTTGTTAATAAAATATTAATTAATCATTTAGTCAATCAATAACGAATTTAACATTAAATACTCCGAAAGACCCGGAGTAAAATGAGACGTTGTTAATTAGCATTTATTTAGATTAATAAATTAAAAGAACATTTTGTGCGGTCTATTCATTTACGTTACTTTTTACGTTTTTAACTCCTAATATTCATAATTATAATTTGATATTTTTTTTTGTTATTAATCTCTCCATAAATGATTTTTACTGCTTGCTTTCTCCATCATCCCACCACTCTCGTTCTCTCTGTAACGGCAAAGCTGACTCATTATATACGTCATTGACTCGCCTGAGTATCAGAACCTTACGCTTTCGGAGATCGGTAAGCTTCAAGCTCCCCGAGTCTAAAATTTGTATTTTCCTTTTTTTTTTCTTTTTTGTTTCTCTAATAAGCTGTTACATTTCCCGATCACGAGACGATCTACTAGGTCATCAGTTTCATATTGCTGTTTTATGATTATAATCTCACCCATTAACACCTGAATCCGATTTCTGCGTTAAAAAAAACCAGATTTGCTCCATCTTTCGGGAAAAATATCTGAGTTTTACTGCCTTTTATTTTGCAGATAATTTTGTAATTAATCTCGCGAGCCAGGTTTTTGTGGTATGAGTTGCGCTGATCCTGTGAATGAAACGGGTTCGTAAATCAAATCTATTTTCAGGATTTTCTTCTTTTTTTTGTTCTGCCCATTTTCGCACTACTTAGTATGGAACAATTCTCAAATCTTATGTATTTTGTTGGGGTTTTTGCACGAATAAGAATACGCATGAGCAAGACTGTCACTGCATATCATCATTAAAAGTTTAGAGTCCATATCATTTCTTAAGAGAGTTACGGTTGTTTTCCACAGATGGAGCTCCAGCGTGTAGCAAGAAACCCTCCACCAACAAGAAAAAGAAGACCAAGTACTCTCCTAAGGATGACAAACCTAAAAGGAAGCAGGAAAATGTGAAATCTAAAGTATCCAGGAGTGGCAAAAGGAAGAAGGCCCAAAAGACAAACTTGAGAGAGCCGGCAACTAAATATGCTGGAGATATGAGCAACACCAGCCTTCGGATCACACGCGAAAGTCGCAGAAAAGCTTTGAGTTTTGGCTTGGATAAAACTGGAGATGCGAGGCAAGGTGACTACCAACCTCTTGTTCCATTTGGGAACCTGCATGTGGAGATTGGAGCTGACTACCAACCTCTTCTTCAATTTCGTAACCTGCATTTGGCGAGCGTAAAACAGCACCGGCGGCCCTTATTTTTGATGCCTGGTGGTGGAAATCGACAACCAAGTGATGCGGGGCAAGGTGACTACCAACCTCTAGTACAATTTGGTAACATGCATGTGGAGATTGGAGCTTACTACCAACATCTTTTTGAAAGAGGGTGATGAAGAGATGGATATGTAATCTGTTGATGGTACTCTAAATAACTCTTTTTTGCTTTTTATGCAAAAAAAAAGCCATATGGGAGAGAAATGGTATTCCTTCTGTTTTTAAAAGATTGATGTTTTAGATTTTGTTTTTGTTTTTGAAAGATTGATGTTTTGCACTTTAATCAATATATTTAGTTTTACAAGATGAATTAAAAATAAACTATTGATTTACATTTGTTGAAAACCAAAAAAGTAACTAAAAATAAAAATAAATTAAACGATGATATGTATAAACTACACATATACAATATGTATAAACGATATGGATCATTTTTTGAAACTAACCTTTATCTATTGTATTATTTACAGCAATTGTCATTAATAAATTAATATAAACAATATGTATAAATTTTGTAAATAAATTAAACGATATTAACCATATGTACCTGCTTCAAACAAAAAAGAAATTAAGAAAACATTAGTTCACAAAAACAATTAAATCAAGTTCTTCTACTAAGCCATTATCTGTGTTTGCTTTCCACTGTCCTATTAACCAAAAACATGATTGTAATCAACTCTATTAATGTCTTAGCATGAAGAATACCAAACCATTGGTTTACAAAACGATTTGAAGATGATTAAGAATCGATACCATTACATTGTTTTCTACTAAGACATTATCTATCTTTTAAACTTTTTCAAATATTCAGTTCACCAAATATTCAGTATTTACCGAAATTAGTTATCCAATTATCATGAAATCTTAACAAATCTCGGTGCACATATATAGCTAATTTGTTAAAATGAATATCCAGAGAATGATCAAACAACTTAATTGCTACATAAAAATTAATTTAAAATTGATTTATTCCTAGATTTCCTAAATTTCAATAAGATCTACTTAACCTCCAAGATTATATTGTAATCAAAGATTTTACCTAATCATTATTGTATAAATAAATTATAACCTGTATCATAACAAAACTATAAAACTCAAAGTCTACAATAGAATTCTATTTAGATCAACTCCTTTTAGTTTCACATACCTTAGCTTTATGATATCAAGCCTTTCAAAATAAGTTGGCGAATCCATGTGAAAGTTCTTCATGTTTGGAAGCAATACACGACAGTATCTGGACAAATAGTGGAGCTGATTCTAGCAAATGAAAATGTAGGTAAACGTTTTATAGAAATCAAATACTAAAATCTTAATCTTATTGAGTGTGAGAAGAATCACTTGTGTCAAATGAATCCATTATGGGATTGGCAAGTACACGCATCTGATGTCATGATAATTCCAAACTTAGCTAAGATAAAAGAGTTTCATAAAATGTGACTATATTTAACGATTTTGTTATATCATAAGCCAAATATGAAAAAAAATTATTTATATTTTTTTCTTATTTCATCAGTGGAACATTCTGGACAGTGACCTTCTACCTAAGCAGGATTCACTAAATAAGAAAGCAAGATATGTATAAGCTACACATACAATTCTGGCTCAGGTACATATACGTTGATAACCATGATTGCATTAATACATAAACGAATATTAAGAAACAAGGTGTATTACTCTTTGAGATAAGAGTATATACCTGATTCAGAATCCATCTCACAAGCCAATTAATATCACTTCAGTTATAAGAAATGTCAAGAGCATGTTCTTTGTCTGGAAAAATTATAGAATAGTTATAGATTTTGTCTTCTAAGTAAACTTAACATGATCATAAGTTGAGTACACTCATCAATATATATTCTGAATTGGAGTAATAATCAAATGTTATTACCTTATTGAACTGGATGAGCTATTTCTGCAGATTTACTGTGATTATCCACATCTGTACTGTGGTCTGAATTGAAGGGAGAATGTGTGACTATTCAGTGAGAGTGCCAACCAAGACTACTCATTCATATGATTATAATAATTTTGAAACACATAACCTGAATCCATTTGGTAACTAGCCTTGATTACCTACGTGCAGAAACTACTAATAGAATGGGTGTGCAACTCTAAAAGATCTCTTGCTTTGCTGTCATTGGAACTTTCCTCCAGCTTGGTCTAATGCGCAACTTTAATCGACTATGAGGAAAGCTATGTATGGAAGAGGAGCATATGGGGAATTGTACCTTGGTTACAAAGTGTTTGAACTTCACGCAGCATTCGAAAGCATAGATTCATTACTTGGCTCTCCTCACTGTTTATTAAATCGAAAATCATCAGTTGAGGTCTGAACACTTCTCCAAAATGTCTATTTATGATAATCAATCCGTTGAAAGCAGAAACCACCAATTTTTCGAATGCACGTTCTGTTAGTCGATTTGGGAGCCGATTGATATTCGTTCTCATCTTCTTCCTCTTTGTTCCTGGGATTCTTGCTTGGCAGACTACAATCTATTCTATCTGGTGTGAGAGGAACGCTCGCCTTTAGCACCAACAATGTAAGCTAGCTTCACCAGTTGTCTCTGCTATTGATTCCTTGATTCGAAACAGATCCTCAAGCTATATAAATACAAACCCAGAAATGGCTTTGGAGATGTACCAACTACGGATCTCGATCACTTCATCCCATCTTATCAACTAATTGGAGACTTCAGTTTGTGATTAGAACTTCTTCTTCGACATGCAAAATCAAAGTGATCCAATTTGGTCAATTTTAGTTGCCCGTCAATATTTTTTTACAGTAGCAACCAGAAAAAGTTTTTTGTCGATTGTGCCGAAATGTGCTATGTAAATAAAATTTATAATAAACTGTCCAACCAGTTGTTAGAACATAATCGCAATGTTTTAATGGCCCAATAATTTTTATAAAAATTAAATATGTTGTTTACAAATATTGTTTTTTACAAAATAAGAAACATTTAAAAGTAATAACAACTTACACAGCCAATACCAAAAAATACTAACTGTATACATATCATATATGGTTGATGGCAAAAAAACTCAAATACGATAAAAATAGGGACTTTTTCTAGACAATGACCTTCTATAATGTTCGCCAATAGCATTTTAAAAAAAAGTTATAATTACAAACCCACATAATTTACAGATATAAAATCTGCTTCAGTTTTTTTTAACATATTGTTTCAGTTATTCTTTAAAAGAATTTACATAAATATTAATTGAGAATCAAAACAAAAATCACGGGAACACATGTGTCTTACTATAAGTACATTGCATACAATATTTAGAATCGCATACTTTAGTTTTATGTATTATCATTTTATGTGTATATAGATGATCCTAAACAATTTTCGTGTTTTTTTCTTCTATTAACAGTAAGACACCAGTATCTATAGAAATTTTTTGAATCAAAATCGTGAAAGATTACCGATTTCTGAAGTAAAGAATCAAAGCTAAAGATCAAAAAAAAGATCTCAATCGCAAAATTTAGAATTTGAAAGTATTCAATTTGATACAAATAAAACAAAAATTATGTTTGCATGATTTGCTATTGGATTAATAAAAAAAAAAATTCTCGAACGTGCTAAAATGTTAGACATAAAATTTTGGTCTGGACTTCAAAATAAAACATTGGTTCGGAATATTACTAATAAGTTTAAAACAAAATTTTAAAATGGGTCAAAAGCTATTACATACAAAATTTTGGTTAAAAATAATTTAAAAATAATTTTAAATTTTTAAGAAGAAGAAATAAATTTAATGTTAATAAAATCTAACAAAATATGTCAAAAATGCATCCACCTTTTATTTTATATCAGGTCAATATATAGAATTCGGACACAACAACAAATTAATAAAAAATATCTGATTCAATTGCTTTCATTTCCACTGTGGAAATACATAGTATGAAAAACAAAAATATTTTTAAATAGTCAAATCCGCGCTTAGCGCGGATCCAAAGTCTAGTAATTATTAAAACAAGTCATTATTATATCTTAATATGTGTGAAAAATGTTAAACATCAATCTTTAAAAAACGGAAAAAATATTTATTTAGTTGATATAAGGAGATGGAGAGTGGGAGATTCTTATAAATCATCAAATCATATTCTTTGCAAAAATAAGTAATTATTAACTAATAATTTTCATAATTCTTTTTTTCAAACTAAAAAATAAAAAAATCATTTAAGAGTTCTAGCTTTATTCTCAAAGCTTGAAGACTATCATTCAATGTGAGAAGATGTGGAAATACATAGTATGAAAAACAAAAATATTTTTAAATAGTCAAATCCGCGCTTAGCGCGGATCCAAAGTCTAATAATTATTAAAATAAGTCATTATTATATCTTAATATATGTGAAAAATGTTAAACATCAATCTTTAAAAAACAGAAAAAATATTTATTTAGTTGATATAAGGAGATGGAGAGTGGGAGATTCTTATAAATCATCAAATCATATTCTTTGCAAAAATAAGTAATTATTAACTAATAATTTTCATAATTCTTTTTTTCAAACTAAAAAATAAAAAAATCATTTAAGAGTTCTAGCTTTATTCTCAAAGCCTGAAGACTATCATTCAATGTGAGAAGATTTGAAAATATTTTGACCCAAATTTGTAACTATAAACTATTTTTAATTACTTTAGAGAAATAAATTGGAAAAAAAGCTGGCACTGCGCGTTGGTTTCACGCACCCACGCGCTAAAGCTAAATACCAAATCTCCCCAATATATTCCATATTGTCGTGCGGAAAACGATCTCTGGAATTGAAAAAGACTGATTTCTTAAAAGATCCAACCAATCAGACAAAAGCCTCTCATCTCTCTATTGGGATCTGAATCTTCTTCACTTTCTCTCCGAGTGTAAAAGAAATAAAAAAATCAGAAGCGAAAAAATAGAAAATGCCTCATGGAACGCTTGAAGTTGTTCTTGTCAGCGCCAAAGGTCTCGAGGACACAGATTTCCTGAGTAAGCTCTCGTTTTTCTTCTCCATCAGAAAAATCTGATCTTGTTTCTGAATCCCTAGGACCCATTCTAGTTTTGTTGCTGGGTTTTGTCTTAAATGTGTTATATCCGCGAATGTATATGCACGTGTTTAAAAGTCTCAACTTTTTTGGATCAAAGATTCAAATTTATGAAATGGTGGTCCCAATCTGATGTTCTTGATGGAGATTTGTGTATGTTAACTAGAAAAATCTGAACTTTCTGCGTCACAACATGCGATTCCATGTTTATGAATCGGGTTCTGATCTGATACTAGTAGAGATCTGTTTTATAAAAGTTTTGATCACAGATTCACATTCTTAGATGAGTTTTATGTAAATCTTTGATCTTTTTGCTAATCGGAAATCATTTTACTCTAACGATCTAGTCTAATTGATGGTTATGGACATGTAACTCTGGATTTGTTTTAAGATACATATATGCTTGTTTGATCGTAACATAACCTTGCACGAATGTAAAATCAATTGCATATTCGTTGACTGGTGTTCGGTCTGTTTAACAGATAGCATGGATCCTTATGTGCTTCTCACTTGTCGGACTCAAGATCAGAAGAGCAATGTTGCATCAGGTAAGTTTTCAATCAAGATCAAGATCAAGAATCGATCTTTATGCTTCAAGAGCTGAAGAAGAAAAAATCATGAACTTTTTTGCAGGACAAGGCACGACTCCGGAATGGAATGAGACATTTATCTTCAATGTCTCCGAAGGAACCACAGAGTTGATAGCGAAAATCTTTGACAAAGATGTCGGAACAGAGGATGATTCGGTTGGTGAAGCAACGTAAGATCCTTACATATAACATCATCTTTAGCTTCATTACTCTGTTTAATTAAACTAAGGAGATATGTTTTTTGAAACAATGTTGCAGTATTCCATTGGAGCCGGTTTTCTTGGAAGGAGATATCCCACCAACTGCATACAATGTGGTGAAAAATGAAGAGTTCAAAGGCGAGATCTGGATCGCTCTCTCTTTCAAACCCTCGGTAATAACAATGAAACCACATCTTGCATTGTTTTTGAATTCTGATTTTTGAATGTTTGTAAGTAGAAATCTGAAGAACAATTGTGTGTTTGTTGGTTAGGAAAACCGAAGCAGAGGTTACGAAGATGAGACTTATGGAGGCTGGAAAAACTCTGAAGCATCATACTAAGAGAAGAAACCATTTGTGATTTAAACTTTGATTGAGTCTTGGGAATAAAATGTTGAGTTTTTCTATTTTGAAAGTGTATTTTTTGTTCAGAGTTTCTTCTTCTTATCTTTGTGTTCAGATTGGATTTTACTACTCAAAAACTTGTTTCAGTTTTGGTTGTGATATGGAGAATTTTTCATCTTTCTGTGTTTGTTTCCTGAGTTGGGTTTGGATGAGTCTTTACTGGACTTTCAGCTATAGGGCTCAGGTTGGGCTTATTCTTTGTCTTCAAGCGCACGTCTTCTTCTTCATTTATCCGAAATTTACAAAAACAAACATGACTCCAAGTTTCAATCAAAAAGGAATAATCTAAAACAAATGTTAAAGTTGAGAAGAATTGTGTAAAACAATTCTACCCGATACAAACATCGGTTTGGTAGGTTGATTTGGTTCAATTTAATGGTTTACATAACACCGTCAATAAATCCACATGCCTAATCACATTTAATACTGTGTTTGGGCTTTTTCCTTTTTACATTATTATGTGTGTTACATCTCCCACATCTATATATTATTATTACCCACCAACGTCTATTGAAAAATCGGACTACAATTTTCTATTTTCCCATTAGAAGATTTCTTGTCGGCGACGGTAACGTATACCGGAGAAGAAGACACTGTAATAAAGCTATGACGACGAAAGACAGAAAAGAGGATAAAATCGTCAGGATCCCACCGGAGGTGACTCGATTGCTCTACGTTAGGAACGTTCCGTTCAAAGTAACGAGCGAGGAGATGTACGATATATTCGGCAGGTACGGTGCGATTCGCCAGGTTCGTATCGGCTGCACCAAGGCCACGAGAGGCACGGCCATAGTTGTTTACGAAGATATCCAGGATGCGAAGAAGGCCGTCGACAATCTCTCTGGCTTCAACGTCACGAATCGGTACCTCATCGTCACTTACTACCACCACGCGAAGATGAACAAGAAGGTCGACCTGAACAAGGGCGAAGAAGATGTCGCCAAGTTGCAGGAGAAGTATGGAGTCTCTACCAAAGATAAGTAATTAGGGTTTTCATTGGGGAGACGTGCAAACTTTATAAAAAATATGTATGAGATATTGAGATTGATGTTATGAAATAAGAATTGCTTTTACGAAATTTTTTACTTCGATGCAGTTGATAATCTTGGATAATGATGCAGTGCCTCTTTAGAGTAAAATAGGGTTTGTTTTTCTTTTCTCGAATACCTTCTTGAATTTCGTGTCTAACAAGTTATTTGTTTTTGGGCTTTTTCCTTTTTATTTGTGTTAGGGTATTTTGTAGATTCCTATACTTTTAGGTTTGCGTTTTAGAGAACAGATTCACTTAACACACATCATGCAAGTTTTTCTCTTATATCGACCGAATACAATAGAATGATAGATCGTATGATAACACAAAATTTATTCACAAATCCTAAAAGATCATTTCTTATGCACAGACTGAGCGAACATTAGTTAATTCCACTTCAAATCCTACACGTCAGCTTCTAAGTTAAGAGTTCTTAGGCACACGCATAGATACATACACAATACTAAGTTTTACTACAAAAAAGGCCTTTCAGCGAAAGAGTCTCAGTGTCTCTTTAGTTTCCTGCAACTGTGTGTTGCATAGTAGTAGCAGTCATGGACCAGCAACTAGGCAAGCTTGAACTAGCAACATGTACACATGGAGGATCAGGAGACTTCTGTTTCTTGGTCTCAGATTCTTCTTCATTCAGTGAGATTATTTCGATGTCGGAGAAGCTAGGCAATCCAAAATCGGGTAAAGTGAAATTGCTATCATCACTCCCTGCAGCTGTAAAGTGTTGCTCCAAGTACCTGCGGATTACAGAGTCATCCTCTTTCCAAGATGAGCTCGAGAGAGGCTCAAATGGGAAGTTTGGGCAGGGTTCAGGCCAATCAACAGGTTTTACACTCGAACTTCCCTTTTCTCCTTGCGGTTTTTTTGGTGTTCTTTTGCCTTTCTGAAGTTTAGCAGTTGGTGCTTCCATGTCTTTCTTCTTACTGTTCTTAGACGAACATGGTGGTTCTGCGCTCTTGTTCCGCTTTTTAGAACCACTGATGTTCTGTTCTTGCAGAGTATCAGGGCAGGGGTTTAAACCAAGCTCAATGGTGTTGATGGGATCATCTGCAGATGATCTAGCATTGGAACTGTCGAAGACAAGTACAGAATGTGAAGGTGCTTCTTTGTCTGGAAAGAAGACCGACCTTCTTGACTCATTACCAGCTTCTTCCTGCGTATCTTGAGCTTTAAGAGGCTCTCCACTCTTATCTCCTGGTTCCTGAGTCACTTCAACAACCTTCGATGAGGTACTTATCTTCATCAAGTCACTGTCTTGGTCTCTGATCTCAGTGTTACTTGTTCCTACTTTTTCGATCCCACTTGTATTCCAATCCTTCTCTACAAATTCAGACTCAATGTTGATTTCGATACTAAACGTACCAGTCAAATCCAGGATCTCCCTCGCCTTATCGGGAGACACAACCACAAGATCATGCAAGTTTTGCTCTTCAAAAGACTCAACAAAGTGAGATGTAACCTGAGTCTCTTCCAAAACATTTTCTTCTTTTGAGGTCTCAACTTCCAAAAGTCTTTCTTCACCGTCACTACTCATATCCTCATCTGCACAGAGAAACGATGTTTTAGATTTCACGGATCAACAAATTTCTTTGCAGTATTACTCTTTCGTTCACTTACCTTCAAGTAAACATTGCGTTATTGCTCTGGACTCCAGTTTCTGCATTCTTTCAGGCAGTGAACGTAGCTAACGATAAACAAAACACAAAACTCCCATCATTACATGTTAAGCAAAGAAACATAAGATAAGCTGTAAAACAAAATTCACTTACAGGAGGAGTAGAGGTAACGTTAGAGAAACTCTCCATATTCTCTAATGACCCTTTGTCCTCGACATATTCATTCTCTGAGTAATCTTCTTCATCCGTATCATAAGCATATGTCTTGTAAACACATAACAGAATCTATCAGTTTGTGTTTAAAAAAGAAAAAACATTCAAATAAAATATTTCCATCTTACAATGTAATTGTTGCTGGTTTCCTCTATTTTCTCTGAGGAAGCTTCAGATTCCATAGTGTTCTGAGACTGGGGTCCTTGTTGCATTGAATGGGTCTTGAAATCATTTGACATGTTCTCATATATCTACAAAAGAAAACATCTTTCAATCTTAATAACATGAACGTCTAAACTAAACAAATCGAAGATTACTCAGCTTTACCATATATGGATTTCCACCATAAGAACCAATCCTCGGCTCAGGGTTCAAATCATGTGGAAGCCACGAAGACCTTTCTCTTGCAGCCTCTCCATCTTTAAAGGCTTCTAACTGAAACCGGAGAAAGAAAGATTATACAACCACAGACCAAAGAATGGAGACAAAAAAAAACCGAAACTTGGAAAGGCTTGAGTCATACATTTGCTTTCTTTCGCTTGATTCCGGATAGTCTTTGCTCTCGAATTTTATCCATCTTAATGTACTCAAGAACTTGATCCTTGGTATATAACTTTTTACCCGTTCTTACATTCGTGTAAGTCTACAGAATGATGACATGTGTATAAATTTCAATCAGCATGCATACAAAGCCAAATAAATAAACTAATCTATACAATTCAGAGGTCTAAATTTCTCAACTGATAACGGTTTCAGAAATTTTCGCAAGCAGAGGTTGATTTTCTCAAACAAAGGTCAAATTTTTCAGTTTGATTACAAGAAATTCATTCACTTTCTCAATCATGGGTCGAATTTCTACAATCGATGAAAGGTTATTCACAATTTCTCTAAAGTTTGAGGTCGACTTTCTCGAAGTATTCAGAGAGAACTCAGAAACCCATGTCTGCACTGGGGTCAGAACACCGAAAGGAGAAATTTTTCGCATCAGAAAAGCTAAGAATCAGTGTGAATTGAAAGAAGAAAGAAGAAGGAAACAACACAAGCGAGAAGCGTCAAAGATTTTAGTATTGTACAGTAAAGAGTTTCAGTAGTACCCTAGTTTGGCGACCGCGTTTTAAAACCGTAGAATGAGCATCCCAACCGGCGGGAAGCCAATCCGGCGTTTCATCCGCCGTAATTGTTGGCGGAAGCTGACGCAACATTTCCGGTGAGAGGTTTCGGTCTGAAACAGAGTTTTTTGTTTTCTATTTTCTTTTCCGGTGATCAGGTTTTGCTGTCACAGTGTCTCTGAGAGCGACACAACAGATGTTGTTGATGTGGTCTTTTTTTAGGAGACACGTGACAGTAATATCTAAGAGCTTTGCATGTTAGTCCCTTATGAAATATTTTATTATAGATAGTAATTCCAATTAAAATTTATTTTATCTGTTTTAAAATAAGTGTTATTTAACATTTTTCACACGAAGTAAAAAAATTATGAAAAATTCAGTTTTACTTTTTATTCACAGACAAAATAACATTTTTTTTAATTAATACATTAATATAACAAAGTTAAAATATAATTTTCGTTTAGAAAATTGCATTGAAAATACAAAACGACATTCTTTGTGAAATAAAAATAAAACTTTAAAACGACACTTATTTTGAAACAGAAAAAATATCTTTATATTTCATGTCAAAAGATATTTTAATTAAAATACAGTACACAATTAGTTTGAAAATTTTAAAGTCAAAGTACTTTTTATTAAAGAGGATGCTGAACATCATTTATTTTGAAAGAAAAATAAAAATATGTAAGATCCTCATATATAAATTGATATTGATATATCGAGCATATTATTAATTGTTAAACTTATTGTCTTCCTATTTTCATAAAATTTATCAGCTATATAAGTTATGATGAGAATAATCGCCCTGACTTTTGTTCTAATTCTTTTGGACTTGGCTTTTTCATTGGAGGACAAATAAATTTGGTATTCTCTTGATTCCATTGATCTTTTTTAAACAAACATTAAAATAAGAGGGGGGTCAAACGCATGGCCGTGCCTGCCTACACGTTTTGTTGACTATTCGTTAATTCATAATTATCGCTTTATCATTAGTCATTACCAAAAAAAAGTAGATTGTTTATATTTACAAAAGTTGACTTCTCTAATTCTTTTTTTTTATGACATTAGGCTACTTCTATAATTATGTCCAACCGTTTGTTGAATGTGTATGACATATATATTCTTCTTCTTCTTCTTGTGTTCATATATACATGTTGACCGATCAAATTCGTTGGAAAGAAATTTCAAAGTATAATAATGCTTAATTAGAAACATATTTGAAGTTTAAGCGTGCTTAGTCTTATTTGAAAAATATCGTCTCCAAAGATTCATATTTCATAGTAACAAACTAAACACAACTAATTAATTAGATCAAAAGAAGAAAACTGCGCAAATACGCAAACGATTTGAATTGGACAAAAACATTATATAAAATAACTAACTCTGTCAAACTTGACAGATACTTATTATAATGATCAATAACCAAAATATAAAAAATATGCATGCATCTCCCATTTAACGTATACAAAATGAAACTAAAAATAGTTTATCTATATTTTATTTATAATCTCAGCTCCACACCCAAATTAATACAACAAGAAAATCAATTGATGATACGTATATTTTGCATCGTAAATGAAATAAAATTGAATACGAAAAAAATAATACAAAACTTTCTGTGTGTATCTATACCATACATTAGTATGGTGTATATCTACAAATACAAGAAATTTAAGAAGAAACATATTAAAGACACACCCCAAAAAAAAAAAGAGAAAATTTCCTCAAATAAATACCTAAATAAATTAAATAATATGCAGTATATCATGATCTGATCATTTGTTGTGAAGCGGGTTTGGCCCTTGAGGAACTTCTCTAGCTGAAACTCCATAGATCTGATCGTACTTCTCGTTGGAGCTCACTTCCGATAACTTTCTCTCGCCGTCAAATCTTAATTGTCGGAACTCTTCCTGGAACATCTCTGTTGCCGTCGTACTAGAAAGCTTGCGGATGCCGTAAGAGAAATGAATCCCGGCGAAAAACAAGATCATGACGATTATAAACGATAATCGTTGGCTCCAAATTTTCATTTTTTTTTTCTTTTGACGAAAATTTTCTTTCTGGTCTCTTGACTAATCTTGCTTGCTTTCGATGAGTTAAGCTTACGATTTATACTAATTAGGAGATTTGGGCATTGACTTGTAAGAGAAGGGAAACAAACAAAACTCCTTTTAAGTCATTTAAATATTGGTAGGTTCATGTTGTTGAAAGACGAAATTAACCTTTCCATTTCCTTGACCTATAAGAATGAATGAATACGTTTTATGCAAAACGGAGAAAAATAACTAAGCAGATAAAATATGAAATTTATATACATAAGGTTGATTACAGTTTTGAATAACCGATATATATATAAATATATAAATACATATAGCTTTATGGTTTGTAATGAAATTCGCCATATTATTTTAAATCCAGTCATATGCGTGCAAAAAATTGTTAACAATAACATATATTACATTTGTACGTAGGTTTTGGAATATATGTTTATTTGAAAATCTAGACTTCTATGCATACACATGGAGTGTGGTTGAACCATTTCTTGATTATATTCTTCTATTCTTGTATTTGGTTATAGGAGTGACGGATTGAAACTCATTTATTTTTTCATTAAAGTGAAATTTTTCACACGTGGGATGCAATTACTTACTCTCTTTAAAAATCAATACCGACCCAGTAAAGTTATTTATATTTGGTAATTTTCAGTTATAACATGCATGCATGTTTATCCTTGCATATATATATGGCCAGTTTTACGAAATGGTGAACCTAAGCGACAATTTATAAAAGAAATTGATAAATTTCAACTTATTTTCCGAGCCCATGTATTATCAACAGATTTAGAACTGAACGTAACTGTAGTGAGTTTCCTTTTTCTTTCTTTATAGTTTGGTTTTTACCGTCATCGTGGAGCGTACGTTATGGCATCTAAGGGTATTCATGTAATTTGTTAAATGGGTGGAGTGCTCGCGTGGATCACTCCGGTTCGTCAATACCTTGATCACACCGTTGACTATCAAAAATAATTGTTTTGTTTTTGTTTGGCTCCTTAATATAATTGTTTATGTAAAACTTTGACATCAAGTTGTTCAAGCGTTAACTTATATATATATATATAAGCAACAATAATAATTGGTTATCAGCAACAATAATAATTGGTTTTCTACGCCCAATATGTAATATGTACTTAGAAAAGTCAGACGTCTCTATTTTTATTTTATTGAACTAGCCTAATACTTTCTCCTTTCCTAAATATTATTTTCGTTCCTAAATATATGATGTTTTAAATTTTTTATTTATTCTATCAAAATTGATATTTTGGAGTATTAAATATTTTTTGTAAATTTCGAAAAAAAGTAAATAAAATTATTTAAATTCTTAAATCATTATTGATTAACAATTATTAAAAAATAATGATTGTCAAAAAAGTAATGCATTAATAACTAAAAAATAATTCTTTCTTAATTTATGTAAACAAGCTAAAACATTCTGTTTTTAAAACGAAGGAAGTATATTTTATAGAGGTATATAATATATACAAAACTATTATCATTCGACTAACTCGTTTAGCTCATTTTTCTATTTTTTTCTGATGCGAAATAGTTATAACTTTTTTGATAAAGCATACTGGGAAACTTGGGTTAAGAATTATCTGAGAAGTTGTCTAAAGTTTATTTGGAATTGTGTTATATATATGGCTTGTTCGAAAAAAAAAATAGTATAGTAGTATGCAATATAATAATACTCATGCGCATTTAAAATCTTAAATATATTTCAGACTGAGTTTTTTTAGAATTTGTAAGAGCTTTCGATTAGGACACGTCAGGAATATCTGACGGTGGTCATGCGTCAACGATAACGACTCATGACCAGTTTTTCAATTTATAATAAATGAACAACTCAACGAAAATATCATATACATACACACATGACATCACTCTAATATTAGACAAATTAAGACTCCCATCAAACCATATACAGTGAACACTATTCGTAACTTTGCAATCTATAGTTTTTTTTTTTTGAAAATAACTTTGCAATCTATAGTTCATATACAAATATAGAGATTATACTGAAAATAGAACAAGAAAAAACCAATCATACATGTTAGTATATAGTACAATCGTGTTGCTTCTTTGATGCGTGTGTCAAACTCGGCCATTGACTCATCAACCTAGATTCATTCACTTTCTTAGCAACCATTTTAATATTACAACAATAATTATCAGATCATATGCATCATTGACCCTGACATCCAATCAAGATGGGACTTGGATAGTCCTTACAATGGATGATATTTGTGTGAAAAATTAATTTTATTAGTTTGTGTATGTTATATATGAGGAGTGATTTAGCTTACCAAGATAACCAATACAATAGCTAAGAGATACATAGACCCCAAAATTACTCTTAAACTAGCTTTTGCCGGCGAAAAAGAAACGATAATCTTTGACTCCAAAATTTCATTTTATTTCTTTGTAAGTTTTTTTTTTGTTGACTAATGTTTGCTTGATGTTGATGACTTAAGCTTGCGATCTATATTGATAATAACGGGATCGTGTCATTGGACTTTTATGAGAGGGAAACAAACAAAATTTATAGTCATTAATTAAAGCTTATCGTATACGCAACAACTTCTCTTCATTCTTTTTTACTTTTGTAATCAATTAACTGAAACAGGAGTTGTTAACTTTTTAATCTTCGTTAAACATAAAATTGCAGTGAAATTACAGAAGTTTGTTTTCCTTGTGTGAAGCTAAAACGACACAAACCTTGCTTGATTCGCAAGTAACGTGCTACTCCACCGAATAGTTATCGTGGATGTGTCATTGGATGGAGCCCTATCGTGGACTACAAACTACTCCCATTACACACTTATAAACGCTATAGTGCAGTAAAAATTTAGATTCTTCATTGTCCGCAAAGACAAAGGCCACAAAAGCTTAGAAACCAATCGGTGGTGGTGCGAAATCGGAGTCTCCCACATGAATACTTTACCAATACGACCCACTACATCTTTGAAATCATACAGTGAACACGGCCGCAAAAAGATGTTTGATTCCATGGCTAGCAAGGGCTGCTCTCCAAACGTAGTGACATTTAATAGACTCATCAATGGTTACTGCAAACCTAAAAAGATTGACGATGGATTTGAGCTTTTCTGTGAGATGTACCGAAGAGGGATCGTTGCTGATGCAATTACTTACAAAACTCTTATTCATGGGTTTTGTCAAGTGGATGGTTTTAATGGCGCCTTAGACATATTACAGAAGATGATTGGCAGTGGTGTGTGACATGATACCATTACTAACCGCAGTATGCTGGCTGGTTTTTGTAGTAAGGAGGAGGAAGTACAAAAGGCAGAGACAATGTTGGTGGATCTGCACAAGACTGTGGTATGTTGTAGAATTTGTTTTTTTTTTTGTCCAGTTTTATCTATTTTCTTTTTGCGTTTTCATGAATACATATTTATATAGACCTTTGGATGCAGCTTTTGTTGGTGTGTTTTGCAAAACTTCTAAAAAAGGCGCCATAAACATCTAAACTGGACCTAAACATAATATATATATGAATAGAAGAGGATGGATGCTTGTTCACAATTGTATGGTAGATGGCAAAAAATTAAAAAAAAACATCACACTAGATGTCTAAACTAGACGTAAATATGTTATATGTACATTTGAAATTTATTATTAGATCATAACTATTTTTTTTTTAACTCGGATCATGTATTTAAACTATTATACACATCATCAAAACACTATTCATAAAACTCCATCCATATTTACCTATCGATATGAAGTAAGACATAATGAAGCACAAGTAAAAAAAGGTAGAATGAGAATTAACAAAAATAAATAGTGCCCAAAATATTTTCACATCGCTAAGTGTTTTATTTGGTAAACAAAATCTCGAAAGTGTTTTGATCAGTAAATATCTCTTTGTTTTATTTATTTAAGTAAAATTAAAAGCAAAGTTATGTTACCAATTCGAGCCCAGCAAAAGTGGTTGTGACTCATAATAAAAATTGAGTCTCTCACCCGGGCTCGAACGAATCATCAAAACTGCCTTTGTTCCCGGGTCTTCCCTGAAGCGAAGCCCCGTGGTCTGGATTTGTTGTCTCTGAGCGATGGAAATCTGAGGTAATTTAAATTACCTCTCTTTTTATATTCCCAAACATCTGAAAAACAAAACAACGATCAAGCAATGAACTCCATTGCCTTAGTTTACAGAGCCCTGATATTTAGTTTTGTGGGAACAGAGAGAGAGAGAGAGAGAGAGAGAGAGATAGAGAAGAGAAGAGAGAAGTTGTCACGATGGTGTTCAGGGGAATACCTTATCGACAACTTCAGCTCTTCTAGTTTCTGTCTTGAGACTGTGAAAATTAGTATTGAACGATGGAACAATAACTGTACTTGAGAGCCACCGATGATCTACAGAGTTTAGCCAAGGTGTCTTTCTGCTTTTCTTTATTTGTTAAAATAAGTCTATTTTGTTTGAAACGATAGATGAATATCTAATCTTTTTTTGTATTAAAATTTTTATATATTTTGTATTAAATTTGTTGCATCGTATGAATTTATATTTCTTATATGTACCTCTCTCAAATTTTTCTTCTTTTTCAAATTTATAGTTTGTGATCCGCGCAACACGGAAATTTGATTATCATTTTATGTATTTTATATTATATTTATTGCATGGACATTTTGTGATTGTTTATTTTTTTTAGTGTATCCATCTTGAATTTCCTGTTTTATCTCAATTTTGATCAAATATTATCTATTGAAGATTATTTGGTTTATTCAAACAGATAAGAAAAATGAACATATAGAATATTAGATATCAAAATTATCCATTTAAGAATTAAAAATTAAAATTATATAGTTTTTTTTAATATCGTTTACTTTCCAGAATTTTTCAAAAATATTTTTTTGAAGTTCACTTTCATCCAAATTATTGAGAATTTGTGAATAAATTTTAGATAATACAATTTCTTGAACCTGTTTCGTTACCCGAACTTCATGTTCCA